AGCAGCGCCATGAGCTCCCGAATCTGCGCGTCGAAGGGCCCCGGGGGCTGGCCTTCCGCGTCTCGAACTTTGTCCTTGAGGAACTTGTAGCGGCGACGGCACTGCGCGGGCGTGCGCCGTACCTGCTGGCGGGCCAGCGCGGCCGACACGCGGCGATAGGTCGGCAGCGCCTGGCGGCGGTCCAGCAGCAGCGAGCGCCACACGGCCGGCTCGAGCAACGTGGCCAGCAGCAACTCCGTCTCCCGGGCGCTCCAGGGCGTGCGCTGGGCCGAGCCGGGAGACACGGGGGACACCGGCGCCGCCAGCTCACCGGGCGGGGTCCCCGGGGCGTCCTCGGCCGGCCAAGGCTCGGGGTCTGGGCTGGCTGGCGACGATGGCTCCGGGTTCGAGAGCGGGACGGGCGGGGCTGGCCGTCGGGGCCGGAGCAGCATCCCGTCGGTGGAGCAGGGACACAGGGTCGCAAACTGCAGCGCAGGCCGCACGTGCCACCCACACGCGCTCTGAGCACCTGCACGGCCGCCTGGGCGCCCCCCGGGCCGCGTCTACGACCCGCCCGCCCCCGCCTCCCACCGCCCGCCTACGCTCCGCCCACCTCTGTCCCCCGGCCCGCCTACGCCCCGCCCCCCTCTCTGGGGCTCCAGGTAGAGATGGTCTTCTTTCTCCCCAGATGGAGGAAGAGCCGGACCTGCGCCGGCCTGGTGAGAAGACCCTGCACACTTTCGTGGCCTGGTGAGAAGACCCTGCACACTTTCGTGGCCTGGTGAGAAAGGTTTTCACTTCGAAGAACCTCGCAGCACAGCGTAGTGAGTAAACCGTGACGCGCACCAAGTATTCGTTGGCGCAGATTCTTCCTCTCCAGTACCGTGCCATTAATTACATTTCCATATTGTGAAATAGTAACGGCTCCTCCCCCAATATTCACCCACCCTAACATTCCCTTAATGCCCCTCTCACGACTGTCGGGTTCTCTCTGTCCCCGGCGGCTGCTAATCGCCGGCTTCTTCTCTGTGTTGTCTCACGTGGACAGACCTCGCAGTGGTGTTGACTTGTTTTGCCCACGGTGATGTTTCGCAGGTTGGTGTGAGTGGCGAAGTTTCTTTCGCTCCGCAGTCTGTCCGGTGCAGACGCGTCCGCTGGCCCTCCCGTCGCTGCACTGCGCGCGTGCCTGGTTTGGGCTCTTGCGTTCCCTTCTGGGGGCCCGGTGGAAGTCCACTTTGCAACTTTTTGAGGAGTTATCACTGGTGGTACAGGAGCTATGCTCTTTTAGGTTCCCACATCCGTGGTAGTGTCCTAGTTTCTCCACAATTGTTTTCGATGTTGATCATTGCCAGTCTTGTGGGAATGAGCACTTTGTTTTTCAGCATTTCTTTGCCTTCTTTGCCAATGGGTCGTGGTGATGAAGCTAATTAGCGATGAAAGAGCCTTGGTGGCCCGCTCAGCTGTAAAAGGAAAGCCGAGGTTCAAAGGCACCAGGCACATTGAGAGAGAAAAGATCCATTTCCATGGAAATTCTTGACGGGAAGCCCTTGGGAGTTCTCTGCGTGTTGTCTTGAAACAATGACTGTTTTCACGCGTCATTGAATATCTTGTCTCCTGTGCCCATTTTTTATTGAGTTACCTTTTTTGTTGCTAAGCTGTAAAACTATTGTGTGTGTTTTGGATAATACACCTGGTACAAGGTTCCTGAAATTTTTTTCCTAGTCTGTGGATGTCTTTTAACTTTGTTGATAAATTTGGGGTGGTTTTTTTTGTTTTTGGTTTTTACTTTTGTATGGCTACTTTTTAAAAACAAAAATTCCAACCTTGCTTGCTGAAACTGAGGAGGACCTGAAGTGCTTGCTGCAGAAGGTCAAGGACTGCAGCCTTAAAATATGAATTCATTGAAGCTCAACATCAAGAAAACAAAGATTCTCACCACAGGGCAGATTGGCAGCATCATGATAGACAGTGAAGAGATTGAGATTGTGATTGTTAACAGCTTTAGTTTGCTTGGCTCTACAATCAACACTCTTGGTACCAGCAGCCAGGAAATCAAAAGATGAATTGCATGGGGAAAGTCAGCTGTCAGGGTCCTCTCCAGAGTACTGAAGAGGAACATTGTCAGTCTGGAAACTAAGGTGCACCTGATCCAGTCCGTAATCTTCACAATTACTTGCTATACATCACAAAGCTGCACAGTGAGAGGGATGATAGAAGAATTGATGCCTTTGAGCTGTGGTGCTGGAGAAGAGTATTGAATATACCATGGACTGCTAGGAGAACAAACAGGTTCATCCTAGAGAGGGTGAGACCCTTGGAGGCAAGGATTCTGAAGCTTCATCTGACAATTTTGGGCATGTTGCAAGGAGGGATCAGTCCTTGGAGAAGGACATCATGGTTGGGAGGGCGGAGGGACAGTGCAGGAAAGGAAGGCCCATAGGGTCACTGTGAGTCCCAAGCGACTTGACAGCACATAATAACAACAGAAATGTCTATTTGAATGAAAATTACAGAGAAAATTTGTTCAGTATTCACACACATTTTGTTGTAAGGATGTTCTGTTAATTTGGCACGAGCTAGCCCATTAGCCTGAAGAGCAGAGAACCACCCACAAAATGCCTCCAGGAGCGAGGGACGCTGTCACTTCGGAATTTGGGGTGAGGGATGAGGGGTCAGGTCACTCAGGTGTGCTCACTGGAAAGGATTTGGTTATCCAGCCTTCCCTCGAAGTGCCCCTGCATAAAACACCAGGGTCACCCAGCTCTGTTGATGGGATTGATGTGCTTGCAGTTGGGGGCTGTTTAGGGTAAAGACATTGCAGATTCTTGTATGTGTCTTGTGAACATGCCCTTGTGTCTATGCTGGGGCCTAGTGTCAAGTGTGACTGATGTCCAGCCTTCCTAGATCTAGCCAAATGGTTTGACACATGGTCACTTTGGCAGAGGACCCCAGCCAGTGGCCAAGGCCCTGAGCCTGCAGGCACCATCATTACTTCCCCTCAGCTATCTGTGAGTGGAGGCACATCTTCTTGTGTTTGAATTTAACTTTTTCTGAGGACAGTGGCTGTGCCTGCTGGATTCTAGGATACTGTTTGCTGGGAGGGCATTTCTAAATCTGTTCCATTGTATCTTGTTTTTGCTTAGAGGTATTTTACAAAAAGAAGCTCAAGGTTTTCCTCCTGTGTTTGTGTCTTTACCTCATGCTCCTGTGACACTAGCTGAGGACTTGAGTACACGAAACAGCAGTAGGCCCCGCTGCACTACACCAGAACTTGAGCTGCAAGTCACAGCTGGGGCTGATCCCCCATTCTTCTCCAACCGGCATGTGAGGCCACCACTTTGGAATCACCCAGAAAAATGGTTTCAAATCAGGCTTCCTCAGCACTATTAGAAACCAAATGGATACAAACAAGGCGTTTGTGTCCTCTCTTGATGTTGTTGAGCTTCAGAGCTTGACCAGGACCTTCTCTGTGGATCTTCCACTCTTTCCCTGTTCTCTCCCCAACCTCCGTCATTTGTGTCCTGTTTTATAACAGTAGTGTTATGCAGCATTTTTCCTTTTGTGACTGAGGAATTTTCCTCAGCATAAAGTTGTCCAGGCTCTCCCATGTTGTTTAATGTTTTATATGTTCATTGTTTTTTAATGCTGCACAATATTCCATTGTGAATGTACTATAGTTTTTCTATCCATTGATTTGTTGATGGGCATTGGGGTTGTATGTATTTCTTTGTTGTTGTGAATAAAGCAGCAATAAATATGGATGTGCATATAGTTTGAGTCATGACTTTGGTCTCCTTAGGGTGTATTCCGAGTAGTGGCATTGCTCGGTTAGATGGTATTCCTGTTTCCAACATTTTTTAATATTAAATATATTTTTTTATAAAAATATCAGCCAGTAGGCAAATATAATCTGAAAACGTTTTTTAAATATTAAATGTTTCTACCTTTGTAACTTGCTTCATAGCACATTGCAATCTGCTTTAATTTTTTAACATTATACTGGTTTCCTTACAGAGTTTGTATACATTGTTTTTTTACACCGGATCTTTCCCATTTCCTTTACCCACCTCTCTCTCCACCCATCAAATTGTGCAATCCTATGATTAACCTCCTGTTTCCTGCCCTTTTCACCCCTCTGTGTCCCCCCTCTCCCTCTTTGGATTCTCATACATGTTCTCCAATAATGGTCTTATGCCGTATTTGTCCTTATGGGACTGAGTTCACTTAGCACAATGCTCTCCAGTTCCTCTCAAGTTAGGCAGTGATTTACAAAATCATTGTTCCTGCGTGCTGCGTAGTATTCCATCGTGTGAATGTACCATAATTTCTCCATCCATTTGATTGTAGTTGGACATTTGGATTGTTTCCATGTTCTTGTGATGGTGAATAACACTGCTACGAACATTGGTGTACAAGTCCAACTTCTCCCCCCCTTTTTTCAGTTTTTTAAAATTTACTTCTGTCCCACACCCATAATAATTTGTTAGTGGCAGTAACTGCTCTTCCTTAGAAACATCAGATAGCTGGTCCCAAGCCCTCTTTTTGTGGGGCCAACAACTCTGTTATGAGAACCAGTCCTGATTCTTGCACGACTTGTGTTAGCACAGAACTGTGCTCCTCAGGATTTCAGCATCTGATGTCCTTTCTTCTGAGCTGCCTCTGAGCAGAATGGAAAGTGCAGTGGTCAGCCACTCAGGTCACCAGAGGTGGTGCTAGTGGTGCTGATGGTCATGCCAACCTGTGTGGAAATACCTGCCCAAAGCCAGACATGGCACCTCGTGCACAATGCCCCCTTCCCCTGCTGAACCTGCTCTCTGTGCCTGCCACCCCCTCTCACCCCAGTGCCCTTGTAAGCAGAGGGTGTAGTTGGTTCTGTCTTATCAGCAGGCTGTTGGACATTAGGGGAGCCTACATGTGATATAGGGTGCTGGCTGGGGTTGGGTTGTGGATCGAGGGGTGGGTTGGGGTCGAGTTGTGTGACCTGGGTCATGCTCTTCTTCGGGGCCGACTTAGAACAAGGGGCAGCTGAGTGCTCCTTCTGTGCCTCCAGCCCTGGCCCCTGGGATGGTCTGCTTGCTGGTGATGTCTGTCCCAAGAGCAGAGGGAGCGTGTTACATGGTGGGTAGAAATGGATTTATTTAGAAATCGTACGGCAGGAAGCATGCAGTCGGTGCACTGAAGCCGGAGCCAGGGACCCAGGGATGGGAGGCCTACGTTGGACACAGACACCATCCAGGCTGCAAAGCTCTCTGCAATACGAAGTTTGAGTGTCCAGATGACCCTTGCAGAAGGCTGGGAGAGGGTGGGATCTGAACTTAGAGTACGTGGGCTGGTTAGGTCTGAGTGGGCAGTGCGGGACAGTTCTGCACATTGACAAGCAGCTTTGACACAAGTGATGTTTTCAGAACCCACGTTAGCTGGCTGTGCTGAGGAAGCACTTTTTTCTAGAAAATGCCAAGAGCAGTTCTGGAGTAATCAGCATGGTGACTGAGAGCTGCCAGTGCCTGGGGTGGCACCGAGCTAGCCTTCCAGTGGCAGACGAGGCCAGAACAGGCAAATGACCTTCTCTTGGGCTGTGCTTAGTCCATGTCCTGCCAGGGAAGCTGTTTCCTCGTCTGACCACTTGGGGAGGCCATGTGTGCAGGACGTGGACCCCGAGGCCATGCCTCTGCTTTGGCCATTTTCCGGAGAACTGAGCCTTTGCCTGTGCTGTTTCCCCCCCTGGGAGCAGTCTAGGTCGGAGTGACAAGGAGGAATCTGGGTGGAGGGTGATTTAGCTCCCAGCGTGGGCACCTGAGCCTGTGAGCCAGGGCTGTGGGGACCTTACAGATCCAGGAAGAGGTTTTGGAACCCAAGTAGCCAGGGGTCAATGTGTCCAGTCAGAAGTAGGTAGAGTCCTGAATGCAGGACTGATTGTCCTTCAGGCTGATGTGAGGCCAGTCTCAGACTCTGTTTAGTGAGCCAGAGATCTGAGGGGACTGGCTCACTCAAAAATAGGTGAGACGTGTGCCTCAAATTCCCAGGTGGGCTCTGGGTTTCTGACAGCTGTCTCCCCTTTAATTCTGGCAGAAGCTCCCAGGCTCCCCCACAGCTCACTCTGGCTCTGTTTCTGGGCTGCCTTCTGCCCCACCTGCGCCATCTCTCCAAGTCCCCGCTCCCTGGCTTATGGCGCAGGGTAAAGAAGCCACATCCACTGTGTCTGGCTCTCCCTCCTTGTGCACTTCAGGGAGTGGCCAGTCGAAAGTCAAGGGCATATTGTTGGAGTTGGAGGGCAGGGCTGTTACTGTCCTTGGGGACAGGGCACTATCCCACTGTCCCCTCCTCACAGACTCTGCCTGACCTGGAGTCCCACACCCACACCCCCATCCACATCACTGGAACGTTGCTTTCATCCTCCTGAGTTTGTCTTGGATCTTGCGTGAATGCTTCTCGCTGGTGAGCTGGTGCACGTTGGCCCTGCTGTCCGCCGCCAGTATGGAGATGTCAGCCCCGCTGAAGCATGCAATTCTCTGCCTGAGGAACGACTGGAGCTTGGGGTCAGGGGCAAATGTGTAGGGGTTCTCCTGGAAGGCGTGCACCTGGCTCACCACCTTGGCTATGTTTCTGTTGAGGGAGGTGTGAGATTGGTGCTGGGGCTCATGGGCACAAAAGTACAGAAATCAAAAGGTAGGTTTTCTGTGCACGTTCACCAGGCCGCATCTTGGGTCTGGTTCTTTGACCTTCTGCCTCCTTCCGATCATCTGTTCATCTGCCTGCCTTTCCATCCGTTTATGCACCGTCTGCTCTTCCATTGTCCATCCATCCACTCATGCATCCATCCACCCACCATTCTTTGTCCCCTCATCCACTGTCATTCCATAAACGTTTACTCCAAGCTGCTTTGTCAGGCCCTGTGAGACCTGGAGAAACTGATACAGATAAAGTCCTGTGTCATCCACTAGGGCCCAGCTTAGTGCAGGGGCACCTCCACCCAGGACAGACCCAAGCTATGCCCACTGGTGAGCTGGGCCTACCTCTCCTAGCCCCATTAAGTGAGGCCATCACAGCTGCTGGAACCAGCCCTGGGAGGCATCAGGCAGTTACCCAGGGAGGAGAGGAGCAGGGGTTCACTTGTGCTTACTGACTAGTCTGCAGTTTCACATTTTCACACGGCTGCACCTCATCTGTAAGCATAGGCTCACTTGTTAAGCTCACATAACAGGGTTCCCCACAGATTAGGTGAGTGACAAGCACGTCAGCCTGTGCTTACCCTCCTCACTGTGTGGCTCCGGAGGGGAGGTGGTTACATAGGCACCAGCATTCACTGGGGAAAGCCCAGGAACAGCGTGCTGGGGAACCATGGGCCTGGAGACAGACACTCCATCAGGGTGACCCACAGTGGGCATGGGTGGGGAGCCAGTGTCCAGCAAGCCATGTCGTTTTTGTTATGTGCTATCAAGTCAGAACTGACTCACAGCTGACCCCAGCAGGTTTTCAGAGGCAGTAAATGCCTATCTTTCTCCCGCAGAGCAGCTAGTGGATTCAAACCCCGTGCCTTTGGGATTGCAGTGTGGCTCCTTAGCACTAAGCCCCCAGAGCTTAGTAGGGTGAGCTATATGTGTGCAATTGGAATGTGCATGTGCGTGCACGCACACACACACCACACACACACGTCACCTACACACATGTAAACCTACAAAATATGTTCATGCAATACTCCCTTATAAATACATGTATTCACAGACACACATGTGCAAACGCAGTACACACGTGCATAGACATACACTGTACACACAAGTACAGCACGCACACATGTATAAACACACACACGAAGCACGTGTGCACACATGGACCACCTACCTTTACCATGCACTCTGGGTGGTAGCCTTACAGTTAGAGTTTTGTTCCTGTTTTGTGTAGGGTTTCTGGTATCTCACAAAATAACGTTTGTTATGAATCTTAAGTACTGTTTACAGTGGTGCTGGTGATCTGAGAAGGCATCTTGGCCCTCTGGGGGGGGCACTGCCTAGCAAGCCCTCTGTGTCCTGTTCAGAGTGCAGCTGCCTGCCTCTGTTCAGGGGCAGTGAGGGGCAGGGGCCATGGGAGGAGAGGACAGAGAGAGAAGGAGGGGTGGGTGGAAAGGGAAGGGTCTCAGGTTTGAGGGAGGGTGAATGGCCAGCACAGGGGGCACGGCAGTGCCCTGAAGCCCAGAGGGAAGGCTGCTCTGGAGTGAACACTGAGGAGTGAAGTGCACTGCCCTTGGGCCAGGCTCTCGGGTGAGCTGGGCAGGTGACATGTTGGACACAGGGCCATCTAAGAATTGACAGCTCTGGGAAGAAGCAGATTGGGGAGGCCTGCAGAAGAGAGGGTGTGCATCCAGAGATGGAGGGGGACCAAATATAGTGGTGGCCAGAGGTGAGAGGCACGTAGGCTCTCCCAGCAAGGGAGCCCTGGAGACCTCAGAAAGGTCCTTCAGGTATGTGGGGAGCCTTGAGGCACTGAAGTCAAGAGAGGGGCTGATACCTTGGCCTTTAGGAGTAGCAAGGCTGGCTGCAAATGCCCCATCTGAGCTCACTGCACCTGTGGACCCTGTGCTCACAGGG